CTCCATAAAGAGCTTCAAAGCATTGTATATCAGACCATGAATTGTCCTAAGAAAGAACAAAATAAACATTCCAGCTTACTAAACAGTTTCCCCAGCCTGCATTCAACAACCGCCATGAATCTGAAAGCAGAGATTAACAATTTGGCAAGAAACAAAAAAATTTACCAAACACAGGGCTCAAAAAAACTTGAATTCCATCTAGCTGTTTGGACAAGCAGCTCTCAAATTTTGCTCGCCCTGAGCAAGTCCAAGTTTACCTTTTTCTTACTTGGTTGGCAGATGACTTGCCTGAGCCCTTGCCCATTGGACATGTGAGAATAAAAGTTCCTTGCCAGGCAAGATAATCTATTAATATTTTGTCCTAGACGAACAGAGAACACTTTTTTTGAGCCTTGCAGACACTGATTAGCTATTGATTCTTCACATGGAGGAGTAAAGAAAACACCCTTGCAAGAATCTTAGACCTTAAGGTAAGTAATTAGTTTTTCTGATATTTTGAAAGCCTAGCTTTCACTTAGCCCAAAATCAAACTTAAGTTGCCAAATTTTGAGATGGCAGTGTTTATATTTTGTTAAAATGTTCTAAAACATCACAGGCTTAATTTTGCAATCAAATACAATCACTTCTACTCATTTTAGTCTTCTGCTACTTTGTCAATCAGCTCAGCATACATATACATTCCTGCCTGGATACAATACAGAACAACACCTATAACAAGCATGTAAGTTCAAAATCAACAAGCATCTTCACTAATTAAAAGTAAACTTGTTTCTTACTTGTTCCAGTGGTTTTTTGAATGTCAGTTTACAAGGAAGGAAACATGATGGGCACTATGATACCAGCATTGTCACTCATCAAGCTCATCACATACTCGTTATTCCAGTAATACAAAGCGTGCTCAGCAACCTGTCAAATTTATGAGAAATGAATTATTTTTGAAGTATCATAAAATAGAGTCCTCTACTGCTGAGCCTATCTGGGCCTCAAGAACATGATACTACATGTACTAAGAGTGTTGCTAGTCAACATGGATGGGATACTTATACTTGTGTATCACAAGATGTTTTTTGTCAGGGTTCTCTAACATCACACTGGTGTCAATTTATACAGTGTACTTCAATGTGTGTCAGAGAGGCAGCATTAGAATAAAGTGCCTAGCCTAAGAACACAATGCAATGACCCAGCACTTGAACCCAGAATGTGTTACTCCAGGAAATATCCATGCCCTCTCTAAGCAAGGTTTACTTGGTTTCCCCACCCCAACCCACCCCTCTGGAAATTCCAGATTGGTTTCGTACAATACAATAATTATTTCATTTATGCAGTGAGTATATACAAATCTCTGTATCACTTTACAGTCATGAAAGTAAAACTAAATATAATAATTTAAACTAAATTAAGTATAGACTTTAAGATAGACATAATAGACCTTTCC